CGAGCGATTCTGTGATTCTGTGATTCTTTTAATACTTAATTCTTTTATTCTTTTAATACTTAAGACCTGCTGGTTTATCATTTTAAAGGTCTTTAAGCTAGTTTTCTATGTAATAAAAGATGAAGGTATATTGTATTACTGAGAATCAACACAAAAGATTTGAATTCTAGAATTCTTGGAGCTGCACTGTTCAGTTTTTCACCGATGGATATTCAACTTGTGTTTTCCTATGACAACTTGCAAATGAAGTAAACCATTTTCTATAAAAAAATAATTAGTTCATAATATTTTTGAGAGCATATCTGCATTATTTTGTAGTTACATTAATGTAAATAAAAAGAAATATATTTAAAATCATCTAGAAAGCTTTAATACAACTACTGAAGAACATATTATAGTTTGACATTAGAGACAATTATATTAAGAGATTTTTACAAATTATGTAAAGAATGTTTTCTGTACAGTAGCCCTTTTTTTGATACTTAACTAAGCTTAAGTAGCAGTAATAAGAGAAGTGCTTAAAAAGAAGTAGTAAATGAAGTTGTCTGCTAAAAGGACTCAGAAGACCAAAAGTTAAAAAGTCACTATCTATGGGCTCTATGGGAAGTGAGGACCCTGGAGTTGTAGATGCAGAACAAAACAGAGCTTCCCTTGCCTTGGCAGGCACTGTATGTGTAAACTATACTGTTGGAAGGACTGGTTGGACACATCTTTTTACCGTCAAAAGCATGAACAGATCTGAATGGTGAAAGGAAGAAGAGTAGAACTAGCTAGAATTATGGCAAATACTTGTTTTAGTCCAATGTGTCCAAGAAGCTGACTATATTTTTGTCATCTGTGAAGGAGGTTTATGTGCCAACCTGCAGTTTTGTAGGTTATGCTCACTACTTTTTTTTTCCTTTCATATAGGCCATGCTTCCTTCTTTGCCTGCAAATTCATTGAAAAAAACAATATAACTAAGCACCTCACAGGAGCTGATCTGCACAACTACTTGTGGGAAGAAAGAATGCAGTTATGAAGCTGCAGTCTGAAGGCACATCTGGAGAGTCACAAAAAAAGGGCAGAATTTTGCTTGAAAATGCAAAAGAGAACAAACTTGGCAGCTTACCCCTTGCTGAAGCAGCTGGAAAGCAGGCTAATTGTGAACCACTCTCACTAATTTAGAAGCCAATTTTATCATTACTTAAGTTAACCAAGCTTAAAATGGCACCTTTCATTTGAGAATAATCAAACTAACTTAGTCATGTCTATTGCATTGTGAACTTTTACAGTAAGTATGTGCAAAAACTTCATGGTCCTATGTATTATAATGCTTTTAGAAATCATTTAATGCAAGTAAGTACAAGAGCTAGCTGACTCTGCTACAAAATCACAGACTCAAAAGTTTAGGCTCTTCTCTGTTTACCTATTTCATTATGTGACACATATAAGTAAAAGGATCCTGCCAACCCTGTTTAAAAATGAAATGTAAATAGTTCAAAATCATAGCAAGTATAAGAATTTTTCAAGCTTTCAAAATACTTCATGTCCAAGCTGTTTAGGTGACTTAACATCCCTCTAGATTGAAAACAGCCTGCTACATATTTTTACAAAAAATTTAAAATTACCTAGATCAAGATTTTTTTTGTTATTTTAGGAATTCATATCTTACATTTCCAGCATCATTTATTTAGACTATGAAAAAATTGGGACAGGGCTTATTAATTATTTTATACTGGTAAAGTCTCTACAATAACAGCTTAGTTTTCAGCAAGTTACTTGACATTATGCCTAAAATAATTTTATGATGAAAAAATGAAAATAGGCTTTTTGCTATGCCAAGTATAAATTACATATTCCTCTCATAAATGAAAGAATATGTTCTATCCTAATGCCTAATTATTACCAGAAATTATTACTCTTTTAATCTTAGGAAGGTTAACCACCAGCTTTTTTGATTGAAGGTTACAGAAATAATTTTTCTAAACAACTAATCACATCAGTAAGCGACAGTGATATAATCAATGATAGCATAACAGAACACATTTTTTTTACCTCATGCAGAGATTCAACTAAGTGATTTTCAGTCAGTTATGAGACATCCTTCACTCACATGTGTAACAAATTCTCAGCTGGCATTTAATCATAATGAAAAGGAGGGTATTTAGACTACTTAAGTAAGTACACAGCCATCGCTACACCTATGAGGAATTTTAAGTTGCTGCAAATTTCTGACTTCAACTGATATGCATGAGATGACTGAAAACTGTTTCTGAATGCCAACAGATATCAAAGGAGCATGACAAATCCTTCTAGCTCTAGGAGGTGAAACATAAAGTGCCATGTAACAAAAAATCTTTCTTAGGGATAATGTGACAAAATTTGGTTACCTTATGTTCAGTGACCTAGCATTTTCTGTTTGATTTCATCTTCATATATGAAAAAGAAAAGTATGCTGTATCTCTTGTCAGTGGAACTTCCTATATTATTTATTAATAACCTCACCATCAAAAAAAAACCCCAAAAGTTGAAGGCATTAAAAATGAAGAAATCAAGTTATCAAGGCTAATAATGAATGCTAATGATTTCACATTTTTTTAGATATGAAATATGGTAATTTTGTATGGTAAATTGCAACTTATTATTTCAGACATAAACTTTGAAAAAAAAGTCTCAGTACACTTTGAAAACAAAGTCTCGAAGTTGTCCTAAGCTAGCATTATAATATGTATATAAGCATATTCTGAAACTGTAGCTGACATAATCAGTTTTTACCTGAATATACTGAAGAGATGAAGGCAGGAGGAAAATAAAACTAGGACTGGAATGTGTGACACCCCACCTGGAGTACTGTATCAAGTTCTGGGGTCCCCAGGATAAGAAGGACATGCACCTGTTAAGAGTGGGTCCAGATGAAGGTCAGAAAAATTATCAGAGAGCTGGAGCCCGTTTCCTGTGCAACAAGGCTGACAGATTTGGGGCTGTTCAGCCTAGAGAAGGTAAGACTCCTGGGAGACCTTATTGCAGCTTTTCAACATATAAAATATGTGAGGTGGAGAGAGACTTTTTATCAAGGCCAGTAGTGACAGGACAAGGGGAAGTGGTTTTAAACTGAAAGAAGGTAAGTTTAAATTGAACATAATTAAGACCTTTTTTTTATGGTGAAGGTGGTGAGACACTGGAACAGGCTGCCCAGACAAGTTGTGGATGCCCAATACCTGGAAGTGTTCAAGGTCAGATTGGACAGGGCTTTGAGCAACCTGATCCAGTCGAAGATGTTCCTGGTCGTTGCAAGGGAGTTGAACTAGATGATCTTTAAGGTCCTTTCCAACCCAAACCATTCTAGGATTCTAGTGGAAGATGTCTCTATCTATGGCTGGGGGGTTGGGCTAGATGATTTTTAAAAGGTCCATTCTGACCCAAACCATTCTGAGTCTATGGTTCCCTAATGCTGTAAAGAACCTTGGATTTTCAGTGTGAAAGTGGTATAGCTGTACATAGCAGCATATAGCAGATTTGCATATTGGGTTTTTTTGACCTCTTGTTTTGGCGTAGCTGTAACCCAAGAAAAAAATATGTCACTTGTTTTGTTTCCATTTTCTGCCTTTGAGGATATCTAAGTACTCTGAATTTCATAGGTCTGAATAAGGTCCAAAACGCCACTGATTTCCTTAACCTATATAATGGAAACCTGAGGATGACAAGGAAGAATCTCCCTCCAATATTTATAGAGCATTAAAAGTGATAACATTATTAACATCTATCACAGTCTGTGTTTACATACTTTAAGATATGTGATTTATCCAAATCCCAAATCTGTGTGTGACCTGGATTTCTGTTTTTAACTTGATTGTTGCTTTTAAAGTTAATCAAATCGAAGTAGTGGAACATAACATTCCTAAGAATTAAGTTGTTCAGAAAACATATCTCGACTTCTTATCCTGTCCTGAAATTTGTGAAGGTCACTAGGCTTTATTATAAAGATGGATATATTATGCAACTAAGATGTATAGCTGAGGTGTCATCAAGTCAGTAGATATTTTGCAAGTTAAAAAAGAAATTAAATCATTATCTTGAAGAGATAATGATGCAAAGTTTCCCTGTGGTAAATAATACTCTTTCCAGAAGTCACATTGGAAATGTTTTCAAAAACAAACTGCTTCCATTAACATGCTGTTGAATGAGCAATTTCCTATTCATACTAAATGTCACCAGAAAAGCTTACTTCTCCCAAATTATTTTCTTACTAAGAGTTTTCACTTATTTTGGTTTTACTTTTTTACTTCTATTGAGCTATTACTTCAGTTTTACACATGATTTTCCAGATTTTAAAATGGCCTTCTGATAAAATCAAAATAAATTCAAAACAACTTCAGGGCACGCTCTTTAATTCAAAAATATTACCTGAGCAATGAGGAAGAGATCCACTCCAGTGTCCATTTAACTGACATGTACGAGATGGCTGTCCTAACAGTGATCGTCTACCTGTGCAGGTATAATGAACAGTAGACCCAAACGTATATTTATCTCCAGACAGGAGCGCGTTAGGAGGAACGCCAGGATGGCCACAGTCAATCACTACAATGCATAATTATTGGAGAACAAAAAAGGTTATTATCACTGATCAAACAGTTTGTAGTTATCATTTTCATAACTCCATACACAAACTTTGTGAAGAGGCCTTATAGGGATTTGGGGAAGGGGGACATATTATGTGATTAGAAATGCAAAATATATTGCAGAACAAAAGCTGTGAAACAAATCTTTGAAGACGTCAAAAAGATATTTTAGATATAGATATTGATGTCCAAAGACATTCATTCAGTAAGTTGATCTTCATGGCATGAACACATGCACACACACATACACACACACACACACACACACACACACACACACGCAAGCATGCATTCATGCATTAACTCTTTAGAAAATAAAAAGGAAGACAATATCTGTCAAAGTCATTGCAGAGGTAGAAATTATGCAGACCTTCATCGCTCATCCACTGATTGTCCTGGTTTACTGTAAGTGTTTTGATGCAAAGGCTAGAGGGAACGGAAACCTAGGGGAGTCGACCCCAAGGTGACCCAAGGCTGACCAATTAATAATAATCATACTGTAAACATCACATTCACTATAAATTGTGGAGTTTGCTGAGAATGGCCCCCCTTCTCTACCTCTTCCTCTCCCTCCTGCTCCCACTTCTGTGGCTGACATCTCAAAAAGGACTTGTTCACCATCCTAACCTTGAGAACTACTCCCTCACAATGTTGTCTGAGTATAACTCTCTGTATTTTATAACTGTTATTAATATTAGTTTATTGCTTTAATATCTTATTTTACTAAATATATTTCTATTTCAACCTACAAATCTCCTTTCCTTTTCCTGACCACTCTCCCCAGGTGAGGAAGAAGCATTAGGGTGATAGAGCAACCGTATAAACCATGACATTGGTCCCAAACTATTGCTCATGAAGTAGTTTTTGCTAAATTTTGCTATGAACCTCAGTGCTAATATACTAATTTCATATTCATGGTTTTGTCTACATAAAATTTTATACTGCAAAAATAAAATATTTGTTTACATATTTTAAATGTATTTCTAGGCATCATCCATTTATGCTAATTGCACTTTTATGTTTACATTTATGTCTAAAAGTCCTGGATTCCTAATAACTGCTTTAGAATACCACTCTGCAATCCTACCTTTAACTTCATTACACATCCTTCAAAATTTAATTTTATATTCATGTTGTCAGGTGGGCATTTCATATGAAAAGTTGGTAATATTTCTTCATTTTTTTTTCTGCTAATGCTAATTCATCCTCCATTTTATTTCCATTAGTTCCTTCCTTTCTGTCTCTTTGTTATCCGATCCTGTTCCATCACATATCTGCACAGTATAGCAAGTATGTGACATATAACTGCGTATATGCAGTTATATCTAACTTTTACATTAAGCTCTGAATCAGATTTAAAGAACAAAAAATAAAGGAAGAAGAAAAACAAAAGAGAATAATATCATTAATCTTCAGAGTATGTAAAAATTTCAGGTCAAATTGTATTTTTTTTAGTTATTATGGACAATTAACAATCAATTTCTGTCATAGCAAAACCTCACTTTCATTAAAAGACAACACATTTCAAAGGAATTGAATAATTTTACAGTGAACAACTTTTCCCTTGTTACTGAGTTTCTTCTTCATTAGTCTAGCAGTATTTCAGAAAAAGTTATGATGTTCTCTGAGACTAGTTAGAGATTGAAATTCAGCTAGATAAAAAAAATAATCCAGCCTGGGTCAAATAAAAACTTTGAGCCATCTTTCCACTTCTTTTTCATTGCTCTTACAGTGGAAAAATGTGCAGATTACGAAATAACTGCTCTGCATACGTCCAAAAGGGAAACAATTTGTGAAACACTAGCAGCTAAAAGGCATAGCTGCATCAGAATAACCTTTGGTAAGCTTAATGATTACAAAATATCATGAATAGTGCCTAGATTAGAATTCATTGACCTCTCTATATAAATGACACAAATAAAGCCGAGGATGTCCTTTCAAAAGTACATACAGCACTCTTACTCTCAAAGTTCAGCTTAAAAGAAGAGTAGAATCTGCATTACTAAATTATTTTTCACAATTCTGAAATAAGAATAAGAGATAAAAATAAAAAAGCAAAAACAATAAATCTTTGCACCTTTACCTTTAGTATGTCTTTCTTTCTGGAGATATGTTACATTTAAATTTCTGAAATGATAATGTTACTTTAAAATTTATTGTGAAATTGTAAGAATCTTTGTTATAAGTTTAACTGTGACTTCCAATCAAGCTATTTTTCCCATCAAAGAAAGGGACAATTTACAGAACTAAAGGTTTTAAGTGTAAGAAGAAATAAACTTACTGATTTATTTTTTTTTAATAGAGAGAATAACAGAACTGGAGAAGCCTTAAATACAGAAGATTAGTAAAGGCAAAACAGAGAACTAGTAACTACAATATTGCAAATATTGGTCCACGATGCCTGAATAAGAAAACTTTAGCCTGTTTTCCCTCCACTCTCTAGAAAGTAAAGCTTTCAGCCTTACTCAGAGAGAAATTTTGATCCTAAACCTACAACTTTTTCATAGACTTATAGAGAATTGGGTAAACAAGCTGTTCCAACCAATTAAAAACCTATGAAACATCTGTGGCCCTATCTATATTATAGAAAGTTGTTCATGACAAGCCAGAACAAAAACAAGATCCTTGTGTTGATCCTCTTGCCTTCCTTAGTGGATAGGCCGCATATGACTATGACATTCCATGGACATGATCCAGAGGACATTTTTGGTGCTCTACGGTGCCATTACTATTTGCTTACTGTCTTCATGGATACTTAGATCTTGCTGCTGTCCCAGGAGAAGTCCAGAAAGTACTATAGTATTGTAAGTCAATAATTAGGTGCTATAGTTTTTAACTTTTGGTGTGATTATAGCTTTGTGGCTGAAGGAGGCCACATATTGGCAAATTCAGTGGATGTGTTTTTACCTTCTATCCTTGCTATCAGGGATCATCATGCCGAAGCATTCAGAGATATTTATTTTCAGCTACTACATTTGCCAAGCTTTTTGCTACATATGATAGCAACATAACTGTGCTACTTCTGCTGCTACTGAGACATTTCATCACTACTGCACACACAAAAATGTATACAGATATGATTATCCTAATTGCTGTCATGAGACTGATGGAAATGTTGTGTAGAACAATACCTAGTCTAGTTCACATTCTTTATAGAAGCATACACATTATCTACTTACTAATGCATTCAGGAAGAGGTTTGTCCCAGTGGCCATTTGGCTGACAAATTAAAACAGAAGAGCCAAATAAAAAATATCCAGGATTACAGTCATAAAATACCACTGTGCCATATGTGAAATTTCCATGTTCGATTTTACTTTCTCTTATAGAATTTGCAGGAATTCCAGGATCAGAACAATTGACCACTAAAAAGTAAAAGAACATAGATTTGATAGTCATAAAAATACTGTCTACTAAAATAGTCTTTAAATGATCCTGTGTATGAGAAACTTCCAATGTGTTTCTACTGTGATTTTACACCTTGATTATATATATAATGATACTGAATTAGGAAGATTATACTTATTACTCTGCAATATCAGAACACCAAGGTGATTTATAACAGCTGGACTAAAAATGAGGTTTATTAGGTACTCTTAATAGACAGTACATGTATACTATTGTAAATTTAAAAAGTAGTAACAACAGAAGTGTTTGTTTAAGGTTCTGTAAATGATTTTGCCTTTTGCTTAAGGCAAAGTGATCAAAGGATAGTGAAAGACATCTATTGGAAAGAAGATGTAGTAAATAAAATTACTATTAACACATAACATGACAGGTTGTGTGCAGTTAAAAATCTATAGAAGCTGCTAGGAAGAAGCTGAAAAAGAATTAATTTTTGCATATGTGCAGGCAGGTTACAGCAAAAAGTACATTTTTCTAAATGTGAACAGCCAACCCAATGGATTGTGCTAACAAATTAAAATAAAAATTTAAAAGTCAAGATGAGGAGTCAGATCAATGGAAATTCAAAAGGAAAAAAAAACTATGTTGGCTAAAAATGCAGAGAACATTATTTCAGGATTTAAGCTTTCAACTATTTCTGCATAATTTTGTCTAAAAATTTCTAAAAGCCATTTAAAAAAATCAACACAAACTACAGACACATAAGAAAGATTCTCTGCAAGAGTTATTCTGGCAATCTGAATGTAGAACAGATCTAACTGAAAAATCATAGAATCATGAAACATCTTCTTTAATAAATTGACTCCTGTTAGTAAGAGAGGTATCATATTGTCTTGATAGTGTCCTTTTACCTTCAGTTTATTTTTCAACCTTAATTTTGCAACTAAATTTGAAATCTCTAAAAGCTTTCATTCTTACCTTTGCAGATTGGAGGAGGGTGGCTCCACTGCCTATTCGCCTGACATTGTGCTTTGGTTGGTCCTTGCATAACATACCCAGTATTACATGAGAATGTCACAACATCATTGAAGTTGAAACCATTTCCACTTGTTCTTCCATAAATAGGACTTCCAGGGTGACCACAACTAACGGCTAGCATAGCACAAAACAAAGAAAGAAAAACCAAACAGAGCATGCTGATATCGCTTTTTATGATTTGTGATATAACAGATAATTTTACAGTCATTATATAACAGTATTTTATAGTTTTGATATTACAAGATACTGAGCACTTTCCATGAAAGATTCCTACTTCTCTGAACTGAATAAGAACTAAGACATACTTTATTAAATGTTCAAGCACTTATTTAAATATTTCAGTAAGAGGAATAGAATTTGCCATGCAGTAATCAAAGTAAATGAAGAAAACTTTTCTGAAGAATCAGGACAAAAGCAAGCACTTGATTTTCGTTATTTATAATATCAAATTGAAAGAAAATACTTCAGCGTGCTAGTTCCTCAGGTATTATTTCTTACAAATATGTCTTAATATGACTTAATATTGACAGAAAAAAAATAACTATCTCTGCGAGAAGAAGAAAAAGAAAATATGTTTGTTGAAGAAAATATTTTAATCATTAGTGCTGATAGTGTAATTCAAGAGTATCTACTTGTCTAACTACTGCAGTCAAAGTAAATGTACACTAACTATTTCCAAGAGCCACTAAGGGGCATAAAGCCATTTTCAAATTCGAATATGTAGGTGCCTAAGTCCTATCACTTCTTGAAGAAGTTTCACATACATATATAAATGACAAATATTTAGCAGCCAAAAGATGGAATGGAAATTATAAGTTAAAATTTTAAATTAAATTTTAATCACTTGATAGATGAATCACAGATTTAAGGTGGTCACATTCTTTTGAGGATGTGCTTTATTTTTATTTTTTTTTAATGAATACTAAGTAGCAAGGTTACTCTTCATCTTGTTTGCCATAGACATTTTTGTAACATGAACCAGTATGTTTCGCTACGCTTACTTACGCACACAGGAAGGAAGCTGACCAGACCAGTTGTGATCTTGTTGACATATTCGTACAGAAGAACCAATCAAACGAAAACCAGGACTACACTGGTATACAACTGTGTCTCTATATCCATAATTTTCTCCAATTACTTGACCATTGACTATAAGGTCTGGAATTCCACAGTGACCAGCTAGATTTTTCAAAGTAAATTAAAAAATAAATAAATCAGTAAATATGCCAAATAAATATAAATCTATAACATAAACACACCCCCACAACTAAAACAATGAAATGCTGAAAAATTTTTGTTTATTGATTTAATTCAAAGGTTTATTTTTATTAACTTAGGGAAAACTGCACACAGAAAAAAATTACAAAAAGACAGTGTAGAAAAAAGATTAATTGTCACATATGCTACCAAATTTATTTTCAAAGATAAGGGTAATTCCTTTTTATTAAAACCTGTACAATTCTGTATAATTTCCTTTAGTTTTATTTTGATTAAGATTAAACTTAGTAAAGTTAACTTCATACCATTATACATTTAAATGGATATTAAAAAATACATATAAATAAAAATAATATAAGTACTATAAATACCAATCCATTACAAATATCAACCATAGAATCACAGAATCATAGAATAGCTTGCATTGGAAGGGACCTTTAAAAGTAGTTTAGTCCAGCCTCCCCCTGCAATGAGCAGGGACATCTTCAACTAGGTGAGGTTGCTCAGAGCACCATACAATGCCTCTTTGGGTTTCCAGGGAGGAGGAATCCACAATTTCTCTGGGAAACCTGTTCCAGTGTTTCACTACCCTCATTGTAAAAAAAATTCTTTCTTATATCTCATCTGGATCTACCTTCTTTTAGTTAGAAACCATTTCCCCTTGTCCTATTGCAATACGCCCTAGTCTGTCCCTATGTTTTATATAAGACCCCTTTAAGTACTGAAAGGCCATAATTATGTCTCCCCAGAGCCTCCTCTTCTCCAGGCTGAAAAACCCCAAGTCTGTCAGTCTTTCCTCATATAAGAGGTGCTCCAGCCCTCAGATCATTTTTGTGACCCTCCTCTGGACCCACTCCAACAGTTCCATTTCTTTCATATACTGACAACTCCAGGTGGAGTCTCACCAGAACAGAGTAGAGGGGTGAAACAGCCTCCTTCAGCCTGCTGGCCATACTTCTCTCAATGCAGCCCAGCATGTGGTTGGTCTTACAGGCTGCAAGTGCACATTGTTGGCTCCTGTCCAGCTTATCACCCACCCATACCCTCAAGTCCTTTTCTGCAGGGCTATTCTCTATCACATCATCTCTCAGCCTTTTCTGATAACAAGGATTGCCCCTAACCAGCTGCAGGACCTTGCACTTGACTTTGTTGAACCTCATGAGGTTCACATGGGCCCACTTCTTGAGCTTCTCCAGGTCCCTCTCGATGGCATCCTGTCCCTCAGTTGTGTCATCTGCTGTTCACATAAATCCATGCTGATGTTATAAATACAGCCTTCTTAAAATAGAAATAAAGAAACTTGGACAACTTAGTGCTGGAATCTGACTCTCTGGATTGTCTTCCATTCTTTGTCTCCTATGGATCCCAGAGGAATCCCAAAGAGATTAACTTGTTTGGACTAAAGGTAGTCAATGCAATTACATCAAAATGTCCTGCAACCAAAAACCTTTCTGTGTCTAATTTTCTACCCTGTATTCTCAAAATATGATCAATATTTTATTTACACTATAGAAGTCACAAACAGATGTTTAATCTAGAGAGAGGCTAGGAAAAAGAATGAACAATGTGTTATTTGTTACTATTTTTCTTCATGGACTCTGGAAAATGGGCACTTTGATTCAGCAAATAATGTGGTAATAGAAAATCCTCTGAGAATGGTTGACTTGATGGAGACTGTGATACATGGCAGAGAAGTCACTGCAAAAACAATTAAGACAAGCAAGAAAAACAAGCAGTGTTACAGCTAGTACTTTACTGAAAAAAAAATAACAGCCACCCAGCTTCTGTTCTCCTCTTCTCCTCTACTTCTCTTCAAAAAAACCCTACAAACAAAACTCCAGAAATGTGGGACTGCTAATAAGAAAGGACATTTAGCATTAATATAGTTTGAATTGTTTTTTTCCTTTGAACTTTTAAGTGTTTGAATTAATCTGATGAAATTTTCAGCATTTTGCTCATTCTTTCAGGACTAGAAAATTCCTATTAAAAAATAATCTAAAAAAATTCTGATATTTTCTTATGACTCGCATCTGGCAGCTTAAACCTCATAGAGTATATCATCGTATGAATCATGATAAAACCGTCAGCATTTACAATATAGGTAGTATGTGAACCTTCACACAAATTAAATTGGAGTGTAATTTCACTTCTGTATAAGGAACAGGAGTCCAAATCTAGTAGTGCTCAAGGGTATATTCCCCCCTGTTTGTGTCCCCCCTCCATTTCCCTCAGTGTTACATAAAGACCAGGCATACTTGAAATTTTGTATTTTTCTGGAACAATATGGCATAATAGACATTTGTAAATTTTTTTTCAGAGTTCTCTTGATTCTCCAGGAAAGTTGTAACCTGTTCAGTATGTAGCAGACTTTCTTGAACATGTCACAAATGGCCCAAGTTCCCTATTCTATCACATTTGTGGTGATAAACAGGACTAACTGGACAAGGAGTGAAAACTGAGCTGGAAAAGATGAGTTTCTATCAGAAGTGCAACCAGACAGTTTGCAGTGATTCACACCCTATTCAAGAAAATAATTTTGTAATTGTATTTAATCACAATATTTGGCCTGATTCCTAATTAAGATTTTAGTGTTGCTTTATGGCAACAGAGTGGAAGCAGAATATATCATCAGAAAGGTCAAACTCCGTTTCCTGTGCAGAGAGAATAAAACTGGAGCAATTTAACTCATCGGGTAGCTAAAATCACTCTGCCATTTCTGCAACTGTGTGTGAACATCACAAAAGCCACACAACTGCAACAGGTGAAAAATTCATTGTAAATCACTTGTAAGTGTGACATTAATGTCTCTATCTTTAAAATTTTCTATCTTAAAATTCCCATCCTCTCAGCCTACTTCCTCTTATTCTCATAAACCTTTTAGCTTTTAGTTCTTATTTTGGCTTCTGAGTTTTTTTCTTTCTTCTTTTATTTTCATTTTTTTTTACGTTATCTGCTGACAAGGGGCTAGCGGTGGATGTTGCTTGCCTGGGCCTTCTGTAAAGCATTTGACACTGTTTTTCACAACATTCTCATGGACAAACTGGCAAGGTACAGTTTGGGTGAGTAGTCTGTGAGATGAGTAGGGAAATGGCTAACAGGCCACATTCAGAGGGTGGTGATCAATGGTTTTTACTCAGGCTGAGAATCTCTCACAAGTGGTATCCCCCAAAAATTTATATGGGTACCCGCGTTGTTCAACATCTTAAATTATCTGGATTATGGGATTAAAAGCACTCTCACCAAGGATGACTCACTTTAGAGTACTAACTATACTGCATGACTAATTATGAACTAGTCACTGTTAGTAAAGAAGTGTATATCTTTAAATAGTAAAGCCTACTCCTATGCATATGTAAGGTTTCTAAACTGAAAAATAAAGAAATCCAAATACATGAAGAATATTATAAAACTGTAATTCCATCATAACATAATTCTAAATCAATTTATTGTCAGAATGTTAAGTAATTCAATATTTAAAAAGAGTGTATGCCAGACTTATGACACATCTTTCATGTCAATTTTAAAAACAAATAAAAACCATTTGGTATTTACAGGATTTGTCTCCAGATTTCACTCTGCTTTCTGGGGGAAGTTTTGTCTGACAGATATATAAAAATTCAGAACAAACACCATCTCCCCTTCTCAACACCCCAAAACAATGGCTTCAGCCCTATTTGTTTCATTTTCAAAAGAACATCTGTCATGTAGTTGCATGTGCTAAGCAGTTCAGTATGTTTGCTATTGAAAATGTACATAATGGTATACATAGTTCCTGTTAAAAGAACCTTGGAGAACATTACTGAAATTTCCACTCATTTAGGTAGCTGAATAAAACCCCTAAGTTACAATAAAGTCAGAGACTCATTAACATTTTCTATAGCTTTCTTTTCTTTGTTTGCTTTATTTTCCAGCTGTACTTCACAAATCCATAGAGACTGTCTCCCTCAGAGGAAATAAAGACCTTTCACTTACAGTAGTTGCTATCACTACTGCTCCAATACCAAGAAAAAAAAAAAGAGGAAGGAAAAAACCAAACAATCCCCAAACCAATAAAAAACCCCATCAACATCCACACCCAGATCTGGAAAAGTAAGTATTACTTAATTTCTCTTCCATTCTACCCTGGTTTTGTTTTATTTCTTCTAAAATCAAAGTGTTTAATTATTTTTCTCATTACTATTAGTAGAATTCTTTCTGTTACTCATTTTCCTCTTAAAATAACTGTGAAGAAAATAATTTCCAAATGTTCATTATATATTAAGAACATGACCATATTTATTACTGCATATCCCTGTGGGTTTTTATATGATCAATTATGCTAATTGATTTTCAAGACTTCCATTTTAAACTCTTATTTTAATGGATTAGCTAGAAATAAAGATATTTATTTTCCTTTCTTGAAATGCTGAAATGAATTTTTGAAGTGTTGTTCAGTAGTCTGATGCTTTTTTTTTGTTCAGATGTGAAATTTAGTAAGAAAGTGAATAAAATCATAAAACTGATTGTTGTAATAACTAACTTTCATTCAATATAACCATAAGATGTGTCTTTTGAAATGAGATAGCTAAATTATTCCTCCTAAATCCAATCCAGGTACAAAGCTGCTCAGGAACTGAGCTCTGCAGGTAGATTGTTTTCACTGGGGACAGAATCCAATTACTGCAAACTAGGCATCAGATTGAGAGAGCTCTCTGTAAATATGAAGAAAATCTGCCAGAAAAACTATGGCAGAAAACTGAAACCAGATGCAAAAAGATAAAGTAGAAAGCAAATGACTACTGAGAAAAAACAAACAAACAATAAAATAAAAAAAGAGTACTGCTGGGTAAACAAAGATTCAGATGTTGTCAACTTTTTATTTTTCTTGTTTGCCAGGAAATTTATTTTGCAAATAGAGCATAAAGCATTTAAGAAGTGCTGATTTTATTATCAATTTACAGTCCTGTTTAAACAGCCAATAA